GAGCTGGCAGCCTGGCCCTGGCACGAGCTGGCAGCCTGGCCCTAGCACGAGCTGGTAGCTTGTCCTTGGCACGACCTGGCCCTGGCATGAACTGGCAGCCTAGCCCTGGAGCGATCTGGCCCTGGCACAAGCTGGCAGCCTGGCCCTGGCACAAGCTGGTAGCTTGTCCTTGGCACGACCTGGCCCTGGCACGAACTGGCGGCCTGGCCAGGTGCGACCTGGCAGCCTAGCCCAGACATCGACTTGGTAGCCTGACAGAGGCGCCAACCTGACAACCTCGAGGAACACACCTCCATACCCCGCATTTTACGAGATTGTGACTTGTAACGGCTATATTAGCTCACCCACTCCCTGAGTCAAGCGGAAATGGGCAACCTTACCAGTTGGTGGCTTTATCCCCACCTAACACAAAAGTTGGTCCTATCACAACGGGAATCCAGGAATTGCTCCACCTAACCCACGAGGTGTGTTCCTCGAGGTTGGTGGCTTCCAACTTTACCAGTTGGAAGGATGGGTAATCTCTTCTCTCTAGCTCTCCCTCATTCTCTAAGGTTATTTTTCAGCTCATATCCAAGTGCTAACTTAGCCATCGGAGTGAGCTCACTGGGTAAACACCCCCGGGTTCCCTGATTTAGTTCTCGCAGGTCCCTCAGCTCCCGCCGCTTACAAAGATGAGCAGATCACCACCAGGCATCTCATCAAGGTAGCTCACCTCCAAGCAGCTCATCAAGGTAGCTCACCTCCAGCCAGTTCGCCCCCAGGGAGCTCCACTTCAGCCTCTATGTCACAGGCCACTTGGGAGCAAACGAGATGACGAGGTACTTAGCCAAAAAATTGACACATCACGAAAAAATGATACGTGACCAGAAACCGTCACATCATTTGGCACCGTCTATGGGAACACGCTACGAAAAGCCAAAGTCTCATCCTACGAAAGCTAAGTTCTTATCTTACAAAAAGTTAAGTCCTCTTCTCCCAGAAAGCTAAGTCCTCAACTTTTTAGAAACTGAAGCTCTCGCTTTATAGTTTCCATTTTTTTATGAACTCAAAGACTGTGTAGGGAGCTAACAGACTTAGTTGCTCTAA